GAGACCCTGACTATTAGAGAGTTAGTGAGAGACATCAGATGGTCCACTCTGGGGCTCTAGCTGGGCAGTGAAGGGAGAGAAGCCAGGAGGGGTCTGACAGACTGGCAGACAACAGAGGGATCAAGGGAGTGGAGCTCCCTGTGAGTTGATGCCACAGGTGTGACAGCCTCGAGGCCCTGTCAGACTTGGAAGGCAGGTGCTGGGATCAAAGAGTAGGGTCCTGGATTGTGAAGACATCGAAGACAGGACTAGGTTGTGATTCAAACCAGAAAAATTTTTTTCCTTTTTGCTGTACTGAGGATTGAATCCAGGATTGAGCCTAAGGATTGCTGAACTATATTCCCAACCCTTCTTAGCCTTTTGGATTTTGAGGCAGGGTCTCATTAATTTGCCCAGGTTGGCCTCAAACTTAGATTCTCCCCCTCAGCCTCCCCAGTAGCTGGAGTTATAGGTGTGTGTCACTATGCTCAGTTGATATCATAAATGTTAAATTTTGGACTTAGAAGGTTCTGTCTTAGAAGTCTGGCTCTGCCACCCTACTAAATGTGTCACCCCAGTAATGATCATCGAAATGTGTCATCGAAATGTGTGTATCCTCCTATTGGTAAAATAATAATACTAATAGTATACTAGTCCATCTGTTAGTAACACAAGGACACTAATGCTAATCTTCTGTGCGAGATAAATGCATGTACAGCATTTGACACAGCACCAAGCACATGCGTTAAGCACTCGGTAAATGTCTGCTAAGTATGCTACACTTCCAGGTAATGACTCACTCCAGGTGTGGTCATGGGAGTGGATGGATGGAGTGGGATGAAGGTCACTAGAGACAAGGTGGAAAGACTTATGAGGCTAATCACTGGGCAGTGGATCATCACGGGCAAGATCAGTATTCCAGCAAAACAGCGCAAGTCGAGGGAGGGAAGAAGGAGAGAATACTCTTGCCTACTCCACAGGCTCCTCCTCTAGGAATCAGCAACTTCCCGAGGGTGACATTCAGCCAGCCGTGGGGTGGCGGCCCTTCCACCCTAGAACTACAGCTCAGTTTGTCCATAACCTTATGGTGAACAGCACTGTGACTTGCTCAGAGCCTCGACTGGCCACATCTTGGCACCACACTAAGGTTAAGCTGGTTCCTCCAGCCCCTGCCAAGGTCCCCGCAGCTATTCAAGAAGCTGAAGGAAATAGTCAGTAGTGCTCAAACTGGGAGCTTCAAACAGCTCACTGCTAAGGAAGCTATCTATGCTGAATGGTTTGGCAGCCAATACAGTGTGGATGTGGTTTTGTATCGGAGAGATCATAGGCAATGGTGGCTATAGTGTTTGAATGTCTTCAACATCTGATTAGATCTGATTTAATATTTGAGTGTTGTAGGATCACCTGTGATCAGAATATCTGCTATCTGAATAAAATAAAATGTATCAACTAAAAAAAAAAATCAGCAGAAGCCACCATGTGATCCCAGTACTCAGGAGGCGGAGGCAGAAGGATCAGAGCAGGTTTGAGGGCAGCCTGGGCCACATACATAGCAAGCCTCTGTCTCAAAAAAATAAAAGTCACTTGGGAGCCTGAGGCAAGAGAGTCATCACAAGTTCAAGGCAACCTGAACTACACAATGAGATCCTATCTCAAAAAAATTTTTTTAACCATTGGAAGAAGAAAATATACAAGAATATACTCTACATTTCCACATTAAATCACCTGACAATACCAAGTACTGGTGGGACTATAAAGCAAGGACAATTCTCAGTGTTGTTGGGAACGTACACAGATATGGCCACCTTGGAAAAATAATAGTAGGGCAAAAAGTCTCCTAAAAGATGTCCAAACCTAATCCCTGGGCTTGTGAATGTTAACTTTTTTTGTTTTTGATTTTTAGTACTGGGGCTTGTGCATGCTAGGCAAGCGCTCTGCCACTGAGTTTTATTTCCCAGCACAACCCATTTTTTTTTTTTTTTCTTTTTGAGACAGGGTCTCACTTTGCAGACTGGACTCAAACTCACGGCAATCCTCCTGCCACAACCTCCCGGAGTGCAGGGGTTGCAGTCCTGTGCCACCATACTTAGAATGTAATGTATTTCTTTTTTTTTTTTTTTTTGTCTTTTTCGTTTTTACCGGTACCAGGGATCGAACTCACAACTGCCTGCTTGCAAGGCAGGCACTTATGTCGCTAAGCTAAATCCCCAGCCCCCTATAATGTATTTCTTGATGTACGTTTATCCTTATAACAAGACAAGGGTTTTTACCACATTAGCCATAACACGTCTTACGCACTTTTATGAATGCTGTTATATAACTAAAATGTATCTCAGTGATAATTTTTTTTCTTGATACCAGAAATCAAACTTAGGACCTTGTGCTTGCCAGGCAGGTGCTGTGCCGCTGGGCCCAGTGGTGATAATTTTTAACAGAATGAGCAGGGCGCTTCCCAATCCCTGAAGCTTCCTGTGTCCCTCCACCTGTGTCCACTAATCTCAGCTTCTGCTACTAGCTCTGTCCTGGCTCCGACCACCCCAGGTTCACCAACACAAGTGTTTGCCAGAGCCAGTGCCCACACTGGAGTCCCCTCAGGGTGTACAGCTCATGCCAAGCACACAGAGGCTTCATGGAACACTTGTTGCCAAACCCCACGCACACTGCCTCAGGTCACCACCTCACATGGTCACCATGCTCCATGAAGCTCTTTGCCAGTTCCTGCTCCCCACACAGAAAACATAACAGATAATGGTGATCAAACAAGGGGGTGGCTGACTCCGCTTTTTCACTCACCTTTCACCCTGTCCACCTGTCATTCTATACCCTCAGAACATTCCCCAAGGCCCTGGAAAGGACCATTCTCTCTGTCTGCAACATATCTTCGATCATTCTGTTGAACTACTCATCCTTCGAAGGCCAGCTGCAGGCTCTGCACTGCTGTGTAACTATGGCCTACTTTCCTCATAAGCCACACAGATCCCTATTTCCTACATGCTGCTTCGCAGAATCTCATTTCCCAATCCCTGAACCTCTTCGAATTCGTGTTGTCCTCATGGCCTCCACTGGGCCCACTCTTGGACTTTTAGGGCCTGTCAGTCACCCACAGCATGCTGCTTGCACTGATCAACCCAGGCAAGCTCCAGGCTGCTTGCATTTAGGAAGGTTCTGGACCTGTGAGGTGCTGCCTGGAGGTTCTCACCCCCAGACTTCCTGGGATGCAGGTTGCATGTGCAGGGTTCCTGTAGCCTCCCTAGTGGGTATGCTAGGCCAGCCACCAGAGGGCAGTTGAAAAGGGTGGAGCAGGGCCTCTACAGAAGGGCCCTGGCAGGAAGGTGCCCAGGCAAGGGCGGAGTCTGCCACTGCCACACAGGGAGACCAGCTTTATAGCTTGAGGAAAGCAGCCTGTTGGAATTTAGCCCAGTAGTGAAAGGTTTGCAAGGGCTAAGGTGAACAGCAGCTCCCATGTCTAGGCAGGGTTGAATCCAAGCAGAGGAGAGCCTCAAATCCTAGATTATGGAAAGAAAGCTCATACTCTTTTTCCACCAGAGAGCCCTCCACCTGGAGGATGGGGTTTGACCAAGGGAGCCCCACGCCCACCTTGCTGCCCAGCCTAACTGTTGCTATTAGAATAGAAATACTCAACCTCTCAGTGTCTCTATCCCTCAGCAAAGTCACTTCCCTGAGCCCACTTTCTATCAAAAATGGGGATAAAATCCACAAGGAGTGGCTGGGTATTAGCAGACTTTGCCCCAGGTGTGGCAGCACATCCTTGTAATCCCAGCATTTGGGCAGGCTGAGGCAAAAGGAGCAGGTGAGTTCAAGGCCAGCATGGACTAGGCAGTGAAACCCTGTCTGAAAGAACAAACAAAAGTAACGCCTGAAAGCTAGGCGTGGTAGCCCACGCCTATCATCTCAGCACCTGGGGAGGCTGAGGCAGAACTGCCACAAATTCGAGGTTGACCTGAAGTACACAGTGAGTTCAAGACCAGCCTGAACGACGTAAGGAGACCCCAGTCTCAGAAAAATAAATATATAAACAAAAATAAAAAGGGCTGAGGATGTTGCTCAGCACAAAGGTCCGGGGTTAAATCCCTAGTAGCGCACATGCACATACACACAAAGATCTTGAGTAGGCACCAAGAGAAGTTCTCCCTCCCAGATGGTAAAGGCAGGGCTGGACCTACACAGCAGCTGGCTGGACCAGCCTCAGCTCCCAGACGGGACTCCGCTCTTAGGCTTACCCTCTGTCCTTGCATATCAGCAGAGGTCAAGGGGCCAGGACAGGTTCTAAAATGTGGGTACACCCACATTTGGTTCTAAAATGGTACACCCCTCCCTTAGGAAGGTCTGGCTCTGGGGAATCTCTACCCATTGCATGCAATCCCCTAACCCTGGCTCCCTCCCCCTCAGGAAAGAGAAGCACATATTGTGTAACAATTTTGAGTTCCTGAGCCCTTACATAAAGGAAGGGGAAAGGCAGACCACAACCTCAGCTACAGCCACACAGCAGCAGGCAGAAGTGCTCTGCCTCACCAAGGGCAACAGCAGACACCCAAGTTACCATCAGGTTGTGAACCTCCACGTGTGACAGTTGGAGCCACATGGCGTGGGAATTCTAGGCAGAGGACCTGTAGTGTGGCCTGGCCTTCCCGTTTCCAAACCTTGGGGCTTCATCAGCCTTGAGGATGACTGGCTTATCTCACTACACTAGTTAAAAAACCTGGGAGCCACCCTCCTCCAAGAACATAGGGGAACAGAGCACGTGTGAACAGCTGGGGCATTCCTGAGTCCAAGGCAGTATTTCCTTAACTGAGGCTCAGACAGCAGGACAAGCCGGTGGTAGCCCCTGGCAGATGAGCCAGCGTCCTGTGGTGCCCCAGGGACACTCCTTCCCCCCGTCAATCAAGAAAAAAGTCCTAGAAAGGATGGGGGATGTAGCTCAGCAGTACAGCACTTGCCGAGTGTGCAGAGAATGTGGATTCAATCCCCAGTGCCGCCAAAAAAACGAAAGAGTCCTAGAGTCTTGATGCCCACCTGTGCCCCTTCTAGGGCAGTTTTATTGGTTCATTTGCAAAATGTCTTCCCATCAGCCCAGATCTTTACTTTTCCTTTCCAAGGCAGCCAGTCCTGGCCCTGGCCCCATAGCCAACAGCAGACCTTGGTCTAATTCTGCCACAACGTGTGATACTCTGGGTAAGGGTCCAAGTAAGTGCACGTCTGTGCCAGGTCCTGAGGAGAAGAGGTGTGGCCAAGACAGCTGGGTCTGTGTGGGGACACTGGGCAGAGCCCTGGCTGGCGTGAGATGTGTGGGCAAGGTGAGCAGGCCCTATGTGCACCCCAACTCCAGGGCCCACGAATGTGGCTGAAGCCCAGGTAAGGGCGGTAAAATGAGATCCTGAGACAGAAGCCCTTAGGCCAAAGTGTGTGGAGCAGGCCAGGGCAAGGGCTGGAGGGGGCAGTGCATGAGTGGGTACCTGTATGCACTAGCACCCACGTGCACAGAGACCCGGGGGCAGACTTGACGGACGGGGGCTTTGGTGAGTGTGGTTGCACCTCCACCTTTTGCATCTGCAAGCCTGAGTCTCTGGCCTCCTGAGGGTAAGAGAACACACCTGCGGGGTGGAGGGCGTTTGGGAAGGAAACCTGGCTGGAAGTGGTTTAGGCCTCAGAGCCCACATCCTGTAGAAGAGGCTGTCAGGGGACCTGCCGTGGGGAGCAGTCTCAGGGCTGCCAGAACGACAGTCCTCTAGGGGCAGAGATGGTCGTCCTCCGAGGGAGAAGGTGGACCGGAGACCTTGAAGTGGAGTCTGTGCTGCCAGATCCTCGATCAAGAGGCCTCTGATGGGCGACGCCCCCCATCTTCTTCCATCAGCAGTAGGCGGCGGCGGCCGGCCTCGTAGTCGGCCTCATCCACACTGACCAGCAAGCGGACAGCCTCCCGGCCCACAGCCTCGCGGAGGGCCTCAGTCAGGAACACGCCCCGCAGGGCCTGCAGCAGGGCGCCACTCAGGTAGTCACCCCAGAAGGCATCCAGGTAGGAGAGCTCTGAGAACTTGATATCACAAACCACAGAGCCCAGGTCCCTGGAGCGCAGCACTGCAGTGGCCTGACCAAACACGTCCAGCTGCCGAGCCAATGCCTGGGGTCGCCGGGATGCCACGCCTTGCTCTAAGGCTGGCCCGTGCTCACAGTACTCTGCTCGAACCCGAAGGCGGATGTCTGTGGGGGAGAGAGAAACTGTCAGTGGGTGCCGATACCCTACTACCCCCTTCCTCTCTGGGCCTCCTCCCACAGGCCCCTCTCTCTACAGCCCCTGCCTCCTAGTGGCAGCCACACCCCGGGACCGTGAAGTCCTTACACCACTTACTCCACGAGTTCTGGCCCCTTACCTCCCTGATCTCATCTCTCTCCCCCAGCTCACCCTTCCTCACTGCTCCTCCAACTCCAGGCAGGCTCCAGGGCAGCCCCAGCTCTCCCCAGATCTCTTCCCCCAGATCTCCACAGAACTTGCTTCCCTAACAGTTGCAGGTCTTCCTTCAAGTCCCGCTTCCTGATGAGGCCCACCCACCACCCCCATCCTCCAGCAGCACTCCCAGCCGCTATTCCCCAAGACACGCATCACCTTCTGACCTACTCCACAGGCTGTTAGGCTATCATCTGTCTCCCTGAATGGACTTTTTGTCTATTTCATTCACTTGTACAACCTTGTGGCTCACAGTAGATGCTCAGTATGTATTTGTAAAAGAATTGGCACAAGGGGCTGGGGATTTAGCTCAGCGGCATAAGCGAGTCGTGAGTTCGATCCCCGGTACCGATAAAAAGGAAAAAGACCCAAAAAAACAAAAACAAAAACAAAAGAATTGGCATAGAATTAAATGCACCTGCCTTCAGACAAGCAGCCTCATACTCACCCCTACACAGTGAGAGTCCTGGGGCCAACCACACCTCTATCCTCCCCAGCAAGCTCCAGGGAGGCAAGGGCCTAAAGCAGGCCCTGAAGGCTTAAACTTCGATGCACTACTGGGAACCCAGTGTTCTCTGTCCACAGGCCAAGAGGGTGGCTACAAACACAGAGTTGCTGGGGCCTCTAAGCCACCAAGAGGAAAGAAAGAAGCCCACACGGGGGTAAAAACAGAGGGGAAACCTACTTCAGCAACGATCAATCCTTTTCTTAAACAGTTTAAAGTTTCTGTGACAACTACTCCTAAATCTGCCCAGATTGAGGGGGCAGCGCTATGCAGGGAGCAGAACTGTCCTGCATATATGAGCCAGCCCTCTAGCTTCTCCTTGGACTGTCTGCATACGCACTGTGAAGTGGGGCTGACAAAGCACCATCAAGACAGGCTAGGAACAGCAGCAGCAGCCACCACTCACCCTTTCTCCTCCTGCCTGAGACTGCTGGCGATCTACTGGTCACTGCTCCAAGTACTCACATTTTAGAACTCACTGGATCCACAGAGGACCCCATCCAGCAAGCCCTACAAACATGCCAATTCTCAGAGAAGGGAACAGAGGCCAAGCGAAGGGACTCACCCATGCTCACACAGCCAGGCAGTTACAACGCTCAACCAACCTCCTATGCCCAGGGTGCAGGCTTCTCAGTCAATGGAGCTGACTCCCGAACTCAGGACCTTCAGACACTGCTGTGTGACCTCAGATAAGTTACCTCTCTGAACACAGGTTCCTATCTAACCCAAGATCCAAGTCCCGTAGAAAAGTACTGTTATGAGGAGTAAAAGAGGAGCAATGGATAGAAAGAAACACTCTAGGGCTGTGCAGAAGAGCAGCTGCCAATAGCTGGCCATGCCAAGTGCCTGGCATGTGGGAATGTAGCTCTCAGGACTGTGGGCCAGGGACTGCCTTAGGCTGACAGATGAGGAAACAAAGCTCTGGGTGGGGAAGTTTCCTGCCCCTGGCTCCCTTCACCTCTACAGATGTGTCAGCGGACAGCAAAACGCAGGCAGGTCCCCTGCACCACCAGACGACTTCTCACCCCACCTACTTCCTTCTTCCATCCCGAACCCTTCCTCTTTCTGCTTAGAGAGGAACCCCATCCTCTCCTCTCAAAACCCAGGGAAGCCTGCAGCCTCAGCCCCAGCCCCTTCCGTGGCTCTTAGGCCTCACTCCCTCCATCCTGAGGACCAGATAAGCTCCCTGGATCCTCATCCCTGACCCCTGCATGCAACTGGCCACGCCTGTGCAATGTGGGCAGGAACCAGGGTGCCAGGAGCAACAGCACCTGCCCAAGGCCACACAGGGCTGCAGAGGCAGAGGCAGACCCAGCCGGCGGAGTCCCACAGACCTGGAGGTGAGTCCTAGTTCTGCCACTCTCTAGCTGGGGGGCCTTGGGCATGTGACCTCACCTCTCTGAGCCTCAGTTTCCTCATCTGAAAAATATAAACAGACAAACAAGAAGTCCCTGCTGCATGGTGGGGTCATGAGAATTAAATGAGGCAACTAATGCAGTGCCTGACTCAGGGTCTATGACACACAGAAGGGCCAAGAAACAGCAACTATAATTTCAACACCCACCTCTACCCCATGGCCCCAGCCCTGCCCTCACCTCTCTCACCTGAATCCCTAGGCCAGCCTCCTCCTCCTCCATTAACTGTCCCAACTGCTACACCCTGCCCTCCGGCCACAACCAAGTGATCCCCCAACCTCCCCAACCCAAAGGTCTGTCCATCCAGGCCTTATGGTGCACGCCTATAGTCTCAGCACTTGGGAGGCTGAGGAGGAGGACTGCCATGAGTTCAAGGCCAGCCTGAACCACATAATGAGAACCCTGTCTCCAGAAAACAGACAAAGAGCAGCCTGTCCATCTCCTCATCCTCAACACCCCCACTCTCCACCAAGGCTTAGTTTGAGGGTCTATTTTCTGGCCAGCTGATCCTCTTCCAGCTTGCCCTTCTCTTCAGAGCAGATGTTATTACACTTGTGCAGAAATCATCTATCTCCTCACCATATGGGAGTGGGCAGGGGACAGGCCAAGGACAGGTTTATGGGGCTTCCATTCAACAGGGGTTTACTGAGTGCTAGGTATGTGAGGGTGACACAAGGGCCTTGCTGCAAGCGGGACACAGAGGTGTGTCGCCCACAGTCAGGTAGCACTGCCTGTATGCCACACCTCACCCTTGGACTGTCCCTGCCTCACAAGCACCTAACCCTCCGGGCACTGTCACTACTGCCATTTCTGTAAGAGGACATCCTTCACCAGTCCTCAGTCCAACTCGGACCCAGATAACGTGATCAAGGGAATCACAGTGGGAGAGGACAGGAGGCTCCATTGGACAAGAGAAGATGAACTTTACCTGAGCCACCATGCCACCCCGGCCCTGAACTATGTGCAGCCTCTCCATGACCCCTCTTCCCGTATTCCATCCAATCCTGCACCAAAACGTTTACATGAAATCTGCTATAGGTAGTCACAGGACTGTTTTTCACACCTGCCAACCCGTTAGATCATCACACAACCTTGTGAGGCAATGCTGTTACTTCCTTTTTGCAGATAGGGAAACCGAGGCACAGAAGTTGAGTCATTTGCCCAAAACCAGAATTTTGAGGTACCTGACTCCAGATCCCAAACTCTTAATTACCCCTATCCTATTTGATGCCTCCCATACAAGCACATACACAAATATACAATTAAAAGATACCCTGAAGCCCAAGAGAGAAAATGATACAGAGCTAGTCATAATTAAACATAAACAAGCACAAATTCTTCTCTAGGAAATGACATTTAAAGTGAAATAGACAGAGGACACTTAAGATTAGCCAGGAAAATAGGAGAGACAGGAAAAATGATCTATTGGAAGAAAAAAGAACACCTGTGAAAGTCCAGGGAGAAAATAAACTTGGGGCATTCACAGGCCACAGCTAGAATACTGCAGAAGAGGACAGACAGTAGGACTAGAGGTCTGGTCTCTGCAAAAGAGAGATCTGGTTATGCAGCCTCTAGAGGGGTGACCATACTCTCTACCTCAGTGGGCTCCTCCCTGAACAGTGCTCACCCCAGCACCTGCTCTGGTGGGGCAGGGGATTACATGGCTGAACATGCAGCCGGCCACACAGGAAGAACAGGACCACCTGACTGAGAGAAACTCCAGCTGTTCTGCAGGAATGGGATGGTGACAGGAAGAGGGCCAAGACAGCTGTCCAGGATGGGAGCAATGGACAGGAGAAAGGCATGGACTCGTCCAGGTGTGGCAGTGAAGCACGAGGCAGCACAAGCACCCAGTACCCACACACCACGGGCTGAGAGCTGACCAACCTGCTCCCATGTAGGCAGTGGCAGTGAACTGCTTCTACCTCTGAGGTGGGAGGCTCCACCTTCCCAGAAGGAGCAGCTGTTGCTTCCTGTGCTCAAGTAAGTACAGCACCCACCTCACCCCAGGGGCTTCTCTTCTTACCCCTCAGGGGTATAGAATGAGATGCGGAAGGGGGAAGGGCTTCCTAGTGGGACACCAGGCCCACCCAGAACAGGTCCTGCCTGCGCTGGATGTCTGGGAGCCCTCAACAGAACCTCACACAGTCTTTCCTCCAAGGGTTCCTAGGTGGGTGGAACGGGTCAAAGAGGACCTGTGCTCCACAAGCACTGCTGGGAAATTTCCAGCCTGGGAGGAAAGAGGCAGCCAGCATGCTTCCATGGAAACACCCCACACAACCACTTACTGCCACACCAAGGCCAGCTCGGGGACTCCTGGCTCACGGCTGCCTCACTCCACCAACTTCGAAAGGTAAGCAGCCACTGCCTGCTTCCTGCTGGAAGAACCACCACCCTGGAAGTGAGCCCAAAAACTCAAAGTATCAAACTGGAGTCTGACCAAGTCCCTCTAGACCCAATTTCCAGAACACAGACACAGGAGATCACACTAAATCAGCCCTACTCAGGATGCAATCCACCAGATCTAGTCTTTGTGAGATGCTATGGGACAAGCTGCTCTCCACAAATATAACACTGGGCCAGGGGTCCGGGGTCAAGATGACAAGAATCCCAGGGATCTGGAGAGACTTTGAAGAACCCTATTTATGAGACAATTATAGAAATTTGTACACTGATGACATATGTGATAGCAAGAATTACTATTATATTTTTTGGTAGGATATTTTAAAGAACATTTTTTCTTTTGGAGATACACAGTGAAACATCTACCCTTGAATAGCAAGAGAGCTGGAACATGGCTCATGACACAAGAGCAGCCATAAGGGTCAACAGCCAAAGTTTGGTGATGGGTTCTCAAAGTTGTTTTACCAATGATTGATTTTGGTAGATTTTGCATAGTAACAGTTGGGGTGGGGGTAAGCAAAGCTGATCCTGCCATTCCAATGCTTCTACTGCTTTCCTTAACTCAAAATATGCAAAGCCCAAGGCCTGTGGTTCACAGAGACCTGCAGAATCTGCCCTGGTTACCTGTCCTGTCCTCACCTCTAGCAGTCTGCCCTTCTATTCCAGCTTTACTAGCTTCCTCACCACTCCCTGACCACCATGGGCACACTCATGCTCACCCCTCCATCTGGAACATTCTCCCAATCCCTGAAGCTCTTGACATGCCTTTCCCCTCTGACTACAACATGAGCTCAATGTTGGCAGGGGCCTCAGCCTGCTAGGCCCTGTACTAGTAAACACTCAACAACAAATAAACAGTAGATTTGGTAGAATCCTAGCACTTGGGGGCGGAATTGTGAGTTCAAGGCCAGCCTGAACTTCCTGGCAAGATCCTGTCTCAAAATTAAAAAATAAAAGAACAAGTGTCAGCCCACCTCTACCCCTGTCTCTCATACTAGTGACTTCCTTGGCCGTGGTCTGTTTCCTTCTTTGCACTATGCCACCCCTATCTCAGTGGTTGTTTTGAGAGTTCAAGTCAGAAGAGTAATATATTTGGCATGTACCCAACGGACAGCCAAGAAAGATGTGGAAGCTCCGGGGTTCTGTGCTCACACCAGAACCCCCACGCGCCCTTCTCATACCTCAGGCACTTGGGAATTTACTGTTGTCGATGAGAGCAGCTCACTGGGGTCAACCCCCACAAATGCACCTGGTTTGCTGGGGCAGGAATGTCAGGCTCTTCCTCAATTGGGTCAGGAGGAACTTCCACCCCTCACATGAAACCTCAAGGTCTCCTTAAGATAACCATGCCCATTTTCCAGAGGGGAAAACTAGGGCCTCAGTGGGGATAGCCTCGCTCCAGCCCTGCCCTGCCTAGTGAGTCAGCAGTCAGACCTGCTTACCCATCTGAGTTAAGACCCAGCCACACCCTGGCTAACAACCTCCTGCGCTCAGGGAAGACATCTAAAGTTTGGCACTGCCTGCTCCCAGCCCTGGCCCCTCTGAGACAGTGACTCCCTGGGAATGCAGCCAGCCTGGTGGCTCTGGTAATTGGTACCTGACTTTCAGGAGCATCACCACTGGACAGTCACTCCCCAAGCCCGGAACTGTCTGAGGACATGAGACCAATTCTGTTTCTGTGTTCCTGATGGCACCCAGCACAGCCCGAACATGGGGAACGCCCTTCCCAGCTCCCTCGGGAAGTGGCATCTCCACAGGGAACAGGGAAGAGGGCCAGGAAGAAGGCTCCCTGAAACACTCCTGCACTCGTAGTACACATGGCACCTGTCACACTAGCCTGGGTACCACTTGTCTATCTCCTCTGTAGCCAGGGAGTTCTGGAAACAGACCATATCTCACACCCTCTGTTTACCCAACCCAGGAAGGAGAGAACCAGAGATGGGAGAACTTGCCTATGGTTATGTCCTCCCCACAGGACTAGGTGGGATTTCTCTGGGGCAAGGACAGAGCATGAGTCTCCACAGCAGATGATGCCCCTCCACCCACCGGACCCTGTCTGCAGTCAGCCATACAACCAGAATATTCCCTTGTTCCACTCCTTCTTATGCTCTCCAACCTGACTACCCCAGGCAAGACCTCCATCCCTCTGTTGTGGGCACACACAGCATCAACACAAGATTCCCTGTCTCCAGGTGATTATTTAACACGTATTCAGCAGAGCCTATAGTAGGAGCCCAAGGCTGCCTGATACATTCATTTTACTTACTGTAAATCCCTTACTAGCAGATTTTCTAGAGGGGATTAGAGTTATTTTTTATATATATATATTTATTTCTTAATTATTATTTTTAAATTTTCCAGTGACAAAGTTTCACATTAAAAGAAAAAAAGAGGCTCTGCAGAGTAAGTCTGGGTCACAGGAAAAGCAGGAAAAAGGGAGAAAAAATTTTTAAAAATGTACCTTACTCTGTGGGGTAGGCTACTGTTAAGAGACATGATAGACTATTTTGGAGTTTTTGGACCTCCTATGTAGAGCCTCACTAAGTAGGGCCTCACTATGTAGAGCTCAGGCTGGCCTCAAACCCATAATCCTCCTGCCTCAGGCTCCCCAGTGCTAGGATTATAGGCACATGCCACGACACCAACTTATAATTCTTTTAAAAAGAGGCATCAGCTGACAGCACTCCCTTGCTCAAAACCTTCACAGGAAGCCTACCTCTTCATAGCACCTATCAAAGTGATCTTCAGTTCCACTGGCCTGTCACCCAACTACAAGGTCAGAGCAAGAGCTCCCTGCTGCACTACCACCCCCACAAGCCCACTGCACAGCACCAGTGAGACTAAAGGCATAACTCACACAGCACATGCTCTGGGCCAGGCGCTGTTCCAAGCATTATCATGTGGTTAACTGGCCTCTTCTCATGGCCCTGGTCAGGACCATTATCAGCCCTGTTTTACCGATGTGGAAACAGGCCCTGAGAGGTTCAGTCACCTGCCCAAGGTCAGAGAGGCAGCATATTTCAGTGCCAAGGGCAGGATGTGAATCAGGCAGCCTAACCTGGGGCCCTTGTTTTGTGGCCCAGGATATTCCACCACTGTACGAGACATGACTATGAAATAAGTAACCCCTGCAGATGTTTGCTGAAAAAACAAATGAGATTACAGAAAAGGCTTCCTGGGGCTGTGTGGCACATGATTTCATCCTTCAACCATGGCAGAACACAGACAAGCAAGAAGGCAACAGAAAGGACAAGAATTCACTGTGCTACCTATGGACAGGTGCAGTAAATCCCACCTATAAATCCCAGCTATTCTGGGAGACAGAGGCAGGAGGGTCACAAATTCAAGGCTGGCCTGAGCAACTTTAACAATACCCTATCTTGATATAAAAGTAAAAAGGCCTAGGGATTAGCTCAGTGGTAGAGTATCTGCCTGGTATACACAAGACCTTGGGCTCAAACTTCATTACCACAAATCATAGTAATTCTCCAGAGCTGAGAGGTGCCTGAGAGTTGCTGCCTACCTGTAAGGGGTTTCTGCCCACACTCCTAGCCTATAGCCTGCCCTGGTCACTATTCATGTACTCCCAAAGCTCCCAGACACCTACCACAGGTCACTTTGCCTTCTGATGTGGGCCTCGTAGGCTCCTGCTGCTGTTGAGGGGCAGGTGGGCCCCCTCTCCGCCGCCTTCTGGCACCACCACTAGGGCGGCCTCGACTCCGCCGTTGTCGCTTGGTTGGTGGGGAGTCTGAGGAAACAGAAGGTGTAGACTGAGGACCAGGATGATAGAAAGTGCCACCAAGGTAGGTGTCCAGGAGGAACTCAAGGCCAGTCTCTGTGCTGTGAGTCTTTGGGAGAGTCCCTTTCTGTCTAGAAGATGGGGTACTACTGACAATCATCTGCAAGAGCTCACACCAACATTCAGTCGACTCCTTTAGGTCTAAAGAAGCCCTTAACCAGGTGTGGCACACACCTGTTATTCCAGCACTTGGGAGGCTGAGGCAGGAGAATCGCTATGAGGCCAGCCTGGGTTACATAGTGAGTTCAAGGATGGTCTGAATTACATGGTGAGACCTTGTCACAAAACAAGCAAAGAGAGAGAAAGAGAGAGTGTCCTTGCACTCACACATCAGGAGACAAGCGTGACAACAGCCACTAGGGCAGCATATATAATCATGAAAGCCTGAACACAATGCAAAGATCTGACAAGGAGCAGGATAGAAGCTTTCCAGGACACTGTGTTATACTTTGCATAACAAAGAAAGTAAGAAAACATCCTTGTTATTTTTACAAGATAAAACACTAAGAGCCCCTTGTGGTAGCACAGCACTCAGGACGTTGAGGCAAGAGGATTGCTGTGAATTAAAGGGCAGCCTGGCCAAAGTAGTGAGTTTAGGGCCAGGCTGGAACTCACAGCAAGAACTGCCTCAAAAAAACAAAAGCACTGTAAGGACATGTCAAAATGAATGAAACTACTTACCCGCCTACTTTGGGGGAGTAATGATACAATTTCCTTTTATTTTCCTGAGCCACCATACCCCCTACATTTCTTTTTTTTTTTTAATCGGTACCAAACTCAGGACCACCACACTTGCAAGGCAGGCGCTTATGCCGCTGAGCTAAATCCCCAGCCCCTATACCCTCTACACATCTAAGAATATCTTTTTTCATACTTTAGTTTTGTCTTTTGAGTAATGTAACTGTTTTATACACTCAAAACTTAAAAGGAAACTAAAAGAAACAAACCATAAAAGTAAACACAAGCCAAAACATATAAACCTAATTGTATATACAATTAGTAACATGAATACTCAGAGAAAACAATTATTTCAAGTAACATGGAAAAACATTCTAACTGCAAATTCCCAGTGGGATATGACCAAAGAACCAGAACCACAAACAAATCTCCTGCTTCACCCAGAAGATGCCTTCAAATAGCAGTAATGACTCTGTAATTCTGATGCTATTCTATTATAGTATAATTTACTATTAGTATAAAAAGTTAAAAAATCCATTTCTCAATTTTAGTAAAAAAAAATCCTTAATCTATTTTCGAATTAAAAATGTACTAACAAGATCTTAAGGGGTGTCATGTGCCTGTAGTCCCAGCACTTGGGAAGCTGAGGCAGAAGGATCGCTGTGAGTTCAAAGCCAGCCTAGGTTACAAAGTGAATTCCAAGCCAGCCTGAACTGCACAGGGTGGCACTGTTTCAAAAACAGCAACAGGGTTGGGGATATAGCTCAGGAGCATAAGCGCTTGCCTGGCAAACACAAGGCCCTAAGTTCAATTCCTGACACAAAAGGGAGAGAAAAGAAAAGAAAAACAACAATAAAAACATAGTCTTTATCTCCTCTCACAGACACAGCCTAGTAACAATGTGACCACTTAGCACCCAGATTAAGTACCATGGCCTCTAAAGAAACCAGGCTAATTAGGAAACAGCTGATTCTAAAGATGGGGAAGGGAAAGTTCAAGGTGATATCAGCAAGGCCACAAAGCAAAAGGCAGCCAAAAAAACAGGGAAACATAGCAGAAAGACAGAGACTAGTGTGCTCACTTCAGCAGCACGCAGGGTAAAAAGACACAGACCAACCACTTTAAACTTTAACAAGGTAGATAAATAATGACTCCATAGTGACACTCAGAAAAATGTGAGAGAACGTTATGGAAAGAATTCCATCTAAGAGAGGTAGAAAAAAGAAAAGAATTGGAAAGTCACTCTTTTGCAAACACCAATGTGATAGATGGTTTAGTGTAAAACAGGCAAGGTTCACTAGCACATACTAACCCCACCAGGCAAATGGCTACTGGGGACCAGGATGTCCCAAATATTATCCTACAGAATGTTTAACCTTACCAGGAAAGAAATGTCTCTTTACAGCTAGGCGTAGTGGTGTACACCTATAAAGGCCATGGCACAAGAGAATTTTAAGTTTAACGCTAGCAGGGTTACCTAGTAAATTCCGAGGCCAACATGGACTATGCAGTTGAGACTTTGTCTCAAAAAATAAAAGAAACATTCTTTTACAACAAATATGGCAGATATCACCTTCACAAAGTCATTAAATTTTCCCCTTACACAAAAGAATACTTCATGATGTGCTCCAAAATGAAGAACATGGCATCAGTTAAAAAGTGACTATCAGGCTGGGGATTTAGCTCAGCGGCATAAGCACCTGCCTTGCAAGCAGGCGGTCGTGAGTTCGATCCCTGGTAGCGATAAAAATGAAAAAGACAAAAAAAAAAAAGTGACTATCAAAATGTGTAACGTGAATCTAACCAAGCCTCCAAACCTAATTCCCACTCCACAGGAAATATCAAGGCAAGTGGGTATGGTAGCACATGCCTGTAATCACAGCACTTGAGAGGCTGAGACAGGAGTATCAATACAAGTTTGAGGTCAGTTGGCTGCACAGTGAATTCAAGAGCAGCCTGGATCATGTATCAAGGCTCTATCTCAAAAAAAACAAAAAAGAAAGCTATATGGGAGATAGACACAATCAAAAAACAACCAGACATAACCAGAAGCAATCAGAACATTCCACAAAACAATTGCCCTGGACAGGTCAGAGTTGAAAATGAAAAGGAAGCACAGGCATGGTGGTGCACACCTGTAATCCCAGTATTTGAAAGGCAAGGCAGGAAGATTGCCATGAGTTCAAGGCCAGTCTGGGCTACACAGTGAGTTCAAGACAGCCTGGACTACATAGTGAGAAGAAAAGAAATAAAGAAAGCCAAGCATGGTGGCTCACACTTGTTTTCATTTTTTTTTTTTTTTTTTTTTTTTGAAACAGTCTCACTGTGCAGTTCAGGCTGGCCTTGAGCTCATTTTGTAGCCTAGGCTGGTCTCGGACTCACAAGGATCCTCCTGCCTCAGCCTCCCGAGTGCGTTTGAGACCAGCCTGGGCTACAAAGTGGGCTCGAGACCAGCCTGAAATGCAGAGACCCTGCCTCAAAAAGACAGAAAAAAAAAAAAAAGCAATAAAGAAAGGATGGAAAGAAGGAAGGAGGGAAGCAGGCAGCTGCATGTGTGGGTAGCTCAGTGGTAGAACATATGCTTATTAGCATGCATGAGGACCCCACCCCCATCCCCCTCCTCTATAAAAGGTCTGAGGTTGTGAAAAAGTTTCTGTTCTACAGTTTGAGACTGAAGAGGGAGGGCAAAGGAACATAAAAATAATTAAGATGTGTTATGTGCATGTACCAGTTCCCCAGGATGAGTGTGATCATTATGTACTGCAAAGATGTACTAATAAAAGGAAAAAATTTTTTAAATAAGTTTTTAAATATATAGGGAGAGTGCTTACTTCAGTAGCAAATATACTAAAAAAATGTGTAGCAAGAGATTAAGGAGACATAACTTGCATACATAACAACTCAACCATGCACATACCCTAAAACTTGAGACAGTCTTGAAAGAGATTTGAAAATGGATCATTAGGACATCAATATTTACTTCTTTAGAAACATAATGATCTGGAAGTGGTACAGGAGACTATCCTTATTTTCAAGTGATGCTTGCTAATGAGGAGTTAATCTGCTGATGCCTGTAATTTACTTTCAGAGAGCTCAACAAAGAACCCAGAATTACATATACACATGTAAAGCCAACTGGTAAAATGTTAACAATCATTTAATCTAAATAAAAATGTTTAACTCTTATGCATGTTTGAAACTTTATGATAATAATAATAAACTGAGAAGGGAGAAGAGACAATAAATTAATTGAGACATGGCAATGAAGCCAATTAGAGGCATCTGACATGAATAAATCTCAGCAACAGGTCTAGCAAAGACAATCTGGTACAAACTGATACCTACAATATGGTGTCCCTTAATTAAAATAGAAAACAACATGAAATAATTCTGTGCGTTGCTCAGGATACAAACTTCCTCCTGTAGCAGTAATACAATAATTAACAGAGACACACTGTGAAAATGAGAGCAAAGACCCCTCACGCCACTTCATGGGCCAAGATGAGGTGGTTTATCAGCATTCAGAAGACATAAATGCCCACCATGCCAAACCAGCAGACTCACCTGTATTCCACTGGCCCTGCTGAGAATCTGAAGTGCTGGATGAAGAGCTGGACTGATGATGGCGCCGGCAGCTGCCCTCTGTCCTTTTTGAAGAAGAACTGGAGGTGCCAAAATTGTAGCGTTCAGGGGACACTGGAAGGAAAACAGAAAGAAACATTAACAGCCTCCTGCCAATTTCAGGTCCAGTTTTCAACTCCTGCTGCTAGACGAATACCTGGACCACAAGGTGCCTAAGTCCCTCAGAGGTCACACTCAAACACCCTCTGCTCAGAGAGTGCTCAGACGGTTTCCTAGACAGAGAACTCATCCCATTCTAAGGCCACTCAGCCTGTGCCTACAGCAGCTCCGATTGTCAGAGCTATTCCATAAGCAGTCATGATCATGATCTCTGTGATGGCCCCTTGTCCCTCATCAACTGCCCCATATTTACCCTGAAGCCCCTAGAAATAAGTAGATCTCTGTAGGCTTCCCAGTCTTCTCTTCTAGAACTTGACTCTCAGGCACATTTTTCCGCAAATGCCATTATCTCTTCTAGAGGTGTCTGTCTGGTTATCCAAATCTTACAGCCTTGCTCTGGGCTATGAAAACCTATAATCCCCCATCTCCAACCTGGTCACTCCACCTCACTGCAACCAAGTGGCCAACAACCTACACATGCACAGGTCTTCCGGCAGTCTGAAACCCTCCCAGCTCCCTGCTCCTCTCACTGTTTTCCTCTCCCAAGTCAAGGGCCTCAACTCTGGGGACAGGTCAGTTAGATTTGAATCTTGGCTTCCACACTTTCTACCTATGTTACCTGTAAGCTCCCCTGTCATGTTATCTTGTTGCTTGGGCGCTCCTATATCCTGCCATATTGGCTTCTCATGATATCAAGATCATTCCCACCTCAGGGATATGATGCTCCATTTTCCCTCTGCCTGGGAACTTCCCTAAGACTTCTTCATGGCTGGCAGTACAGCCTCAATTTAAATAACTCAGAGGTCTTCACTGGTTACCTAATCTAAGGCAGCCTCCCTTTACTTGGAGGCACTTCCTACATCCCATTATCTTGGTTTAGTTTATCTGTAACCTTAACCTTCTTTAACAAATAATTACGCATTTGTTCGTCATTATTTTCTGATGCTCCAGCTACATGTAAACCCTATTACCTTATACCCTCCACACCCAGTACACAAAAGTCAAGTCTTACATGTGGCAAGCTGCTTAACTTCTCTGAACCTGTTGCTTTCCTTGTCCAGCAGAAACAATAACAGTATTTCCTCCTGGAACTATTAGTAGGATACAAAACAGACGGTTTCTATGAAGGACTTAGAGCACTGCCTGGTGTGAACCAGCCTTCCATAAACAGCGGTTGGCATTATTATTGATGCGGTCAAATTCCACAAGCTCACTCCTAAAACCAAGCTTCCTCCCTCTTTTGTTTCTCATTAATATTATGCGGAGGGGGAATGGAATGAGACATTATCAGGGCACCACAGGGTCCCAGCAGGACTAGACCTTCTCCCCACAGGAAGTCTGGCACACTTGCATTCAACCTTACCAGGCCGGCGCCTTTTGCGAGCCAGGTGAGGCAGCAGGTCGTGTCGGGCCAGCACCCGCAGGAGTTGACCCAGCAGCCGAAGGTTGCTCTCGTCGCACTGCCCACGGCGCTCCAGCTCCAGTAACAGTTCCAGGCCACTGCGGGCGCGGGCCAGGCCGCCAGCTGCGCCGGGGGCCTCGTCCAGCAGGAAGGCCAGAAGCTCCAGCTCGCACTCGGTCAGCTGCCCGCCCACCACCTCGAACATACGGTGAAGCGACAGCATACCATAGTAGTCCAAGCACTCATCCTCCTCCCAGCTCGGGGCCGGGGTCGACCCAGACAGCGCCATTCCCGGGGGAGGGATGCGGAACAAGCTCAGAACCAGGCCCTAGAACCCACACGGCGGGGAGGAGGCAGCGGTCAGCGACGCGGCGGTCGGGACTCCACACCGGCCAGTGGGTGTTCCCCCTCCCAGGCCAAACAGGGCCGCCCCCCCACAGCCCACGAGCGCCTCGGCTTCCCTCTCCCCTGGAAGGGAATGGTACGGCCCAAGGTCCCCTAGTAACAGGTCCAGACGCCAGACTCTGCGGCTTCTCCGACTGTCCGGCCAGCACAGCCCGAAGACCCCTCCCCGGGTGGTACGTTCCAAACTAGCCTCAAGTGATTCGGCCCAAACGAGAATCACTGCCCATTCCAGGGCACTTTGTCCACGGCACACGGTGCCTTTGCGTAGGAAATGTCCAGATGTGGCCCTTGCCTCAGTTCACCAGTATTTTCCACTCAGGCCCTCCACTCTACCCAAGTGGTACCTTCCGAAAGGGACCCTCAGCCCAGATCAGCCAGACCCACCAAGGCAGCCCTTTGCTCTAAACAGGTGGTACTGTCCGAACCCGACCCCGGCCCTATAAAGGGCGGCCCCACCCTATCTCCAGCGTTCGAGTGGTTTCGCCTGCCCGCCACCAGTGGCCCTTAAGCCTCTTGGGATCCTCACCGGATTCCGGGGTCCGATTACTCCTGGGCGACGGCCGCAGCCACTTGTTTTGGATCTTTCTGGCACCTTCTCTATTATTACGCCTGCGTCACCTTGCTCCTCCTTCTTCCCCCCCCAACTCGCGCAGGTGCGACTACCACGCCCCTTGGGCGCAAGCGCAGAACCAGACCTACAAGCCCCACCCTCCGGGGCCTCCAGACCCGCCCCCCAACCGAAGCTTCCGGCCTGTCGGGGCTGCGCTTGCGCAATGTGAGAACCTCCCTGGGTCTGGCACTCCAGGATCTCTTACGTCTCTCGTAGGTGACTCAAGACGCCGGCCCCAGTTGCTCCACATCACTGCCTGTGGATATACTAATCTCATAAACTACAGCCCCCTGCTGATCACAACAAAGACGCCCACATTATCACTTGCTCAGCTTCCCGAAGAAAAGGTTTACAGTTAAGACTGTCTCGGCTCCCAGTAACGTCCAGACCTCTTAGAGTAAGGACCTGGATTCTCCTGTAGCACTGTCCTCCACTGTTAATGGAAACCAGAAATTACATCTCAACTGTACAGTCTCATGATTCAGTTTGGAAACACACCTTTGTCCCAAAGAGCACACACCCAACCCCCACCCCATCTATAAATTCCTCCCTATAGAGGCCAGGATTCCCCAATCTCATGTTCAGAACTGAATAACCCTTCTTGCAAATCACAATAGACCCCTGCATCCCGATATGCACATTTCTTCCCTCCAGGATCAAGGAGTCACTCAAATACCTTCTCCCTAACCTGCACTAAAGAGAACAGGTCTGTCAAGGCTGTGGTGTCTACCCGGCTCCTGCCGCAGGGCTTTGGGCATGACAGGCACCACACCCATTTAGGTGACTCAAGGTCAGTGCTAGCACGTGCCTGACACAAGTCTCCTTGCTGACTGGGTCCCACCCCCGAAATTATCTCCCCTGGGGGGAGGCAGGAGCCCAGCGTCTCGCCTGGCATTAACTCAGTACGGGCTCTGCTTCGGCTGCAGCGGTGGCTCTGAAAAATCTCTTTATTTCTCTGGGTCTTAGTTTTCCACCCATCGAACAAATGGATGGCAACGATCCCTTACGAAAGCATAGTCCTGAACTGAGTACACAGTGGGCGCACAAGTAATATCGTTAAATGAAGAGAAAAAAGAAACAGCAATTTTACAAACTCGGAAGGACTGTGTCCACGTTAGACGAGGTACCCACGGGGTATGTATGAGGCCCCTCCCTGAGCGCCTCTCCGTATCTCAACTGCCCCACATCACACGTTGGATGATAAAGGTATCATCCAATCCCTTTAACAGCCTGTAAAGTGGACAGGAGTCAAAGCCCAGTACATGGATGAGCAAAATTTAAGACCCACACAGGAGAAGTACTTCAAGTTTGGCTGGCTTCAAAGTTGTATTCCCAGAGTTTCTCGGTCTCTTCACCTATGAAATGACACCTGTCAAGGCGTCCTTCAGGCCAGTTCCCTCTGTGGGTTGTAGCTCTCTGTGCCTACTTCTCTCCGCTGAACTTTCAAACTCTGAGCAGAAAAGGAGTGGCCACGGAGAACTGCGCAGACGCTTCTCCGTGCCGGGACCCCGCCCACAGAGCACAGCTGTGTGAGTGGAGAAACTCTCGGAGACCCGCCCGAGAGTCACCACGCAGGCGCAAGGGCGCGTGCACTGCGCTGCCAGCTCTTATTGGCCGCCACGTGTAAGGGCGCCGCCCAATGGGAGGTATGGATAGTAAGGGGTCTCGCACGCCTGGAGCCGAGGGTCTGTGTCAGAGCGGCAGGACCTGTTAAGGCAAGAGAAATGGGTGGAGGGCGCAGCGGGGCGGGTGGGGAACAGAGCGCTGGGCGTACGAAGAGGGTGGAGGGAGAATGGAGAGGACCCTGGGGATTGAAGAATCTCGGGGCCTGTGCTAGGGCGGGAGCTGAGCCGGGTGGAAGGAGAGCGCTCCTTCCTGTGTGCCGTGGAGGCGTTGGTTGCCCTCCTGCGGTGTGCGGTACCCTTAAACTTATCTCCCTCCTACCCCCTGCAGGTACTTCTCGGGGTGCTGAAATGAGTTTGGCAGAAAAAGGATGTGTAGCAAGAAAGTTGAACTTTGAGGTCGTGATGGGTTCTTTCCCGGTAGGACTTAAGAACTGAATACATGAAACTCCGCCTTTCGTCCCCTTAGTAGTTTATGGTCCCATGATTGGGTAAGAGGAGTGTAGACAGGGAAATAGCAAATTGCAGGGCCGCCTTCTAGAGAGACATTTGTTGGGTCTCTACTTTGTACAAGTTTTGTAGCATGCTCTGGGCCTAACCCTGGGAAAGTTCTCTGTTCCAAGTGGGGCAGCACTCCCTGTTGGTTGTTTACAGGAAGATCCTTTATGGAATGACTGTTGCGAATGGCTTCTGGAACTCAAAAATTAGTGAGGAATTTGGAATAGGTTGATAAGGAAAGTTTAGCTCCTGGGCATTTAGCGAATCATTTACTGGGGAGTACTTACTGAGCACCACTTGAAAACAAGGCCCTGTGCAGTACTGTGTATTGTAGGAATTCACGGTGAAATGGGCAAGTTGGTTTGGTAGAAATGAAATGTGCTTAGGGATGGTTAAACTCTCAGGGCCTCCCTGCCCTAGAGACTTATTCATTCACTAAATATCTCCTTGGTGCCTAGAGTGTGTTGGGCATTGTTTTTGGCAATGGAAATACCTCAGTGATGAAAAGGCTAATATCCCTCCCCTCAGGGAATTTAATGTGAACTAATTGGATGTGCAGGTATGTAAGCTAAACTCCTCATGCCCTCTGGCACTAACACATGAGGAGAAGAGATAAAGAAGGTGAGGATTTCAAAAAGTCCTGGTTTCAATCCCAAGTACCACACCAAAAAGAAAGAAAGAAAGAAATAGAAGAAAAATCTGCGGGAGGGGATCATTTGGTGAGAGCTATTGTGTGAAGGGGTCTGGATTGCGTTTAGCCCACACCGGAAAAGAACATGCAGCCCCTAGGGGCAAATTTGAAAGTTAAAAATACCTGTCCCTGATCTGTGGTTTTGTTGGTGACTGGGGCTTCCACAATGAATCAGACCCACCCTGCCTACAACCTTTCAGTCTGTAAAGAGCTAAAACACTCCCACCTCATATTTGTTATGATAAAGGAAGCACAGGATATCATAGGAACCCCCAAGGAGGCAGAAGTGGCCTTACCTTGAGGATATGAAGGCATTCCTAGAAGTTTCACAAAGGAGATACAGGGTAGGAATTTGCCAAACAAGAGGAGAGAGTTTTCTTAGCAGAAAAAATAGCATCAAAGGCTTAAGTTCACAGCCACTTTTTTAGCAAACTTCAAATAGTTACAGCTAGCGTTTATCAAGTATCAGTGACATTGTGGTCAGTACTAGTTTAACCCCATTTTACAGGTGAGAAGACACTCAGAGAGGTTTTAAGCCATGGATATCAGAGCCAAGCTGAGGGAAGTCTAGCTTAAAGGCCTGTGCTCTTAAATTTTTTGCCGTGTCTCGGTATGCATATGTAAAGGAAGGAAGGAAGATGTTGCAAAATGAGGAAACTGCACAAACAAAGACTAGGAGGCTGGAAAAGTCATGTGCTTTCAGAAGGAATATGACTGAACCTCTCGGAGAGGGCTACATACCAGGTCAGACTGAGGAGTGTTCTCTCTTCTGCAGGTGCCTGGCTAGTGTGATCCACAGTAGGCTTCAGAGGCACAGGATCATTGAAGACTGAGATATAAACATTGGATTAAGATTTGTTGATTGATAGGGACTGGTGAGTAATGGGATGAGCAAGGGAACTCCTGAGACATCCCCTTTCTCCTGGGTTCCTGGTATGTCACTGACTCCTGCCCCTCCTTCTCCAGGCACTGCCTTCCCCACAATGACAGAGGTCGTGGCTGAGTTGGCTGAGATGCCAACACAGTCACCAGGGACAGTGGAGATGCCAACATCCGTGTCGTCCATGTCAGGGGAGATGGCAGAGATAGCAACAGAAGTGATGGAAATGACACCTGGGGAGGCTCTTGCCTCCTCCCTCTTCTTCCAGCACCACCAGTTCATGTGTTCTGAGTGTGGCAGCCTGTATAACACACTAGAGGAAGTCCTCTCACACCAGGAGCAGCATGCGCCCACTGTGTCAGAGGAGGAGGCACTGACTACACAGGATGCCGGCCTGGAACCAGAGCTAGTAGCAGACACTGAGGAAGGGCCTTTCCAGTGTGGTGAATGCAACCAGCTCATCCTGTCTCCCAGTGAGCTCCTGGCCCACCAGGATGCTCATCTCCGGGAGTCTGCAAGCCAGATTCAATACCAGTGTGGGGACTGTGCAGAGCTCTTCCCCTCACCTGAGCTGTGGGTGGCTCATCGAAAGGTCCAACACCTCTCCACTACAGTGGCAGAGTCGTCAGCACCACTTCCTTTGTCTTCCTCAGCACCATCCTCTCCACCACCTGAAGTCAAGATGGAGCCTTATGAATGTCCTGAGTGTTCTATCCTCTGTGCCACCCCAGAGGAATTCTTGGAACACCAGGGCACTCACTTTGACTCCCTGGAAAAAGAAGAACACAATGGGTTAGAGGAGAAGGAGGAGGAGGAGGAGGACAATGAGGATGACAGTGATGAAGAGTCAGAGGAGGAGGAAGAGGAGGAAGCTGTGGAGTGTGCCATTGATACTATGGGGGGTAACAAGTCCACTACTGGTGGAGCCCAAGGCCACGGGGATTGTCCCCAACACTGTACCTCTGTAGGAGCTCGCCGGAGACATCGAAGAGCATCTCGAGGATCAGTGTCAGCTGCCCACCCCTTCCACTGTACCCAGTGTCAGCGCAGTTTCAGCTCAGCAAACCGGCTGCTGGCTCATGGGCGAGCCCATGTTGGGGGCACACACGAATGTACAGCCTGCTCCAAGGTCTTCAAGAAGGCAGCCTCTCTTGAGCAGCATCTGCGGCTGCACCGAGGAGAAGCTCGCTATCTCTGTGTGGACTGTGGACGGGGCTTTGGCACAGAACTCACATTGGTGGCCCATCGCCGGGCTCATACTGCCAACCCACTACATCGCTGTCGCTGTGGCAAGACATTCAGCAACATGACCAAATTCCTTTACCATCGGCGAACACATGCTGGGAAAAGTGGGGCTCCGGCCACAGCAGCAGCAGCAGTCTCC